TTGGTTGCCTTGTTATTGAGCATTGTTAGTGAGCATTAGGTGGCTTTATGTTTTTGCTTACTAGCATGTGTAGGAGCTCTCTTGTTGCTTGAAGTACTAGTTGCATAGGTTTGTGTGACCTTGCTTCTAGAATTGGTTAGGTGAACTCTAGCTAGCTCGGCACCTTTGTTGCTTAATTAGTATCTTTGGAAGGTGCTAGAGAACATAGATAGATGGGTGTAGTCTTGGCTAGACCGATAGTTTTAATTCCGTACTTGTTTCAGTTAGCCGACGCGATTAATTTTAGAAAGGGCTATTCAACCCCTCTAGTCTACCATCTCGACCCTACAAGTGGTATCAGAGCTAGGTCTCTCATTTGTGGTCTTTACCTACCCTAGAGGATGGCGACTTATGGGCTAGATGTTGAGTGTCCATACACTTTTGATGGCACACACTTTGTACGGTGGAAAAATTAGATGACATGCAATTTTAAGTTCATTTCCCCCCAAATGTGGTGGATCGTAGATCACTACAAAAAATTGGTTTGTATGACATAAGCACACTGTCATGGTAAGTACAAAATTGGTCATAAAAAGTGTCTTATGACAAAAAAGCAGCGTCATGCTAATCGTCATATATTTGGAAGGTTCTAGAGAATATAGATAAATGGGTGTAGTCTTGGCTAGACCGATAGTTTTAATTTCGCACCTGTTTCAGTTAGTCGACGTGATTAATTTTAGAAAGAATTATTCATCCCCCCTCTAGTCTACCATCTCGACCCTATATCCGCTCTGTGTGACCCACGTGTGGGGCCAGATTGACTCAGGGTCCCGCTGTCATCCTCTAGGTACACTGGAGTCGGGTGTGTCTAGCATTTAGGTTTAGTTTGATTTTTGATTTCTTTCACAGATTTGAATGAATGTTTCAAAAATTTATATCTAGTGCTAGGAGTGTCTAATTTTGGTGAACAAATTTTTTTTAGTTTTATCTTGAAGTGTAGTATTTGATAAAAATATGAGATGCACTGTTTATAGTATTTTTCTAGGAGAATAAAATATAGCTAGATAAATGCTTTTAAATGGTTTCTATCTTGTAAATTGCATAACTTGAGCTAGAAAAGTGATAAAATTATGATTCCAATTTTGCTGGTCTTTTGTTGGCATGTTCTAGCTAGAAAAAATATTAAACCTACAGTAAACATACTTTTAATATGGTCCTCATATTTAATCCTAATTAATTGCTAGTTTCTAGTGAAATTAATTGAGGTAACAATACATAACATATGATCATGTAAATTTTTACACAGTATTCTTATGCATGGAGGAATGTAGGAAAAATATTAAATCTGTTGTTTGACATTTTTCACTATGCTAAACTATTTTTTCTAAAATCAGCCTATGTGACTTGTTATTTTTGTAAAGGTAGTTGTACTTATCCAAATGGAATGAAATTTGTATAGTGGACTATTGAGGTCATTTGTAGGCAACTGTAATTTGATCAGAATTTATTAAGCTCTAGAATTATTTATCCTTTAAATCACCCTATTATTTAAGGAAAATAATAAATAGATATAAATAAGTTAGTTATGTTTGACCATGATGTTTTCTAGGGTACTTGTGATACATATGATCTGTTGATATTATTAATAAGGCTTAAAAGAAATTGATTGTATGCAACTAGTTAATTATTGCTTTATAATTCAACTAGATGGCTGCATGTAAAGTTTCAGTTGAGTTGATAATTTCATGCTGATAATGGTCTTTTCTATAAAACTTGTTAATAATAAAGTTGTAGATAACTTACTTATCTACCTTGTGTTAAATTTTCATAGTCATAGGCCTTATAGTTTAAGAATTATGGAGGTTAGAAGTCTACTGTCAGAAATGCTTGTTCTCTATATAGATTTGAATGATCGAATTGTTTGACATAGATAACTGCTGAATCATAGTAAGATGATAAAAATAAAGTTATAGGTAATTTCATAAGCTTTCTAGAATGTCCACAACCATATTATTTTGATATGTGTAACTCCAGCTATGGTCAAAACAAGTAACTGCTGTCTTGTAGTCTAGAAAATAATTTACATAAGTGTTTGCTTAAGTAGTAGAGAAAAGATATGCGCCTACTCAGTAAAATAAGATGCAACTTGTTATTACTTTAATGCAATGCTGTTGAAAACACTTATGATGATGCATTCATCATATCATATCATATTATACATGTCATTATATTTGCATTCGTAATATCTTATTCCATGCTCATGCATATAGGATGGTTCGAAGAGATAACTCTCCTAGAGTTCAACGAGGAAGCAGAGGAGGATTAGTAGGAGACGTCTTAGGCCGTAGCTCTAGGAGAAGAGGAGCAGACTCTCAAAGATCTCCCTGAGTGCCCGGATCATCGATCAACCTCTTTTCTCAAAGGCAAGCCCCGGAGCATTCTAAGTCTCCCATGTTTTACAAAATATTACTTGAGTCCTTTATGTTTGATGCATTAGGTTATAAGAGTTAATTGGAAACACTTGATGCATAGAACTACTTTGTTCAGTTACATATACCTTTAACCCTGTGTAGGTTTAGGATCGAATATATGCTTAGCCATGCTTAGATCGGTAGAAGTCGGATGATTTCCTGTCACCTGCGAGATATAGGTGGATACCGAAGCATGGTTTGCTATATTTGCTATCGTGGAAAAGAACCATGCGGTAATGAAAATAGAGGCCGAGCGGAGTCTATGTGTAGGTGGACTCATATGATTCCATCTGTACCGATTAAGGATCATACCGTTGTTGGCATTTCTGACAAGATTGAACGCATGTCTCTCACTTAGCTGGTCGGACAACTCGTTCTAACCGCGAAGCCGAGTAGCTCAACTCAGACCGGGGCCCGCTCTGTTAGAGTACGCACTTTGGATGGTAGTAAGGATGTGCGGGGAGCTAGCCATGAGCCCAAGGGCAGGGTAGTCCTGATCATCCTAGCAGCTGGTTGTCCCTGATTATGCGGCGCTGGACGAACCCATGAAATGTGTACCTGAGTTGTACCAAAGGTGACCTAAGGTGACCGTTGATCTAGTCTTCCTAGGTTTGTGTTAGGAATAAATTCCCAGCTGGTTGAAATCGATTCAAATTGCCGTCTCTCCTGAACAGTGAGAAACTTGTCTAGCCCCAACATCATAGTAATTGTGTTATGGAATGTGATGGTTCGGATGAACATGGAATTACTACACCAGGTATAGTTACTATTGTATGCTACTAAATGATATACTACATGTTTGGCACAAGTTAGTCGCTAATCTAGACATGAATAGCTATAATTAACTTGATGACCGATTTATAATTGTAAAATTAAGTTAGTCGCTTTTATGCAAAATGTTGTCAAGCTACCTCCACTTATAAAGCCATGCATAATCCTTGGAGTCACATTATTTTTGGTTTACGACGGATAAGTCTAGCTGAGTACCTTCTTGTACTCAGGGTTTTATTCTCATTGTTGCAGATGGTACAGCTTATCACGGCTATTGCAAGAACTGCTTCTGTCCCGCCGTGGACGAGGAGTGAGCCCTAGGCAGGCATCTCTTACTAATCCTTCTTATATGCTTTTGTGAGAGTTTGATCACGAACTGGCACTATGTATTTGAACTATGATGGCAGATGTTAGTTTCAAACTTTAATTTGCTTCCGCTACTATTTACTGAACTTGGTTTGTAATAACCTTAATTCGTACCCTGATAGATGAACTGTATTTGTGAACTTTATGTAACATGTGACATGTATGTTGAATCATGTACGATCTTGGTTGTATGTTGATGGTTAATCGAGACCCATCGTGATACTCGACGGACTACCGAATTTATATGGGCTCAAGTATGACAGTGCGACCACTTACGGGCTGCCATTGTACTAGTGCTCTTATAAATTGACCGGTCCTGCTACAGTAGCTGCCCTTCTTCGCCAAGCCCCTTCTTCCACAAGCCGCCACCTTGAGAGGGGGAGTACTCTTGGGGCACGTACAGTTTGGTTTATGTCTTAAGCTAACAGGCAAGCTTTGGATTAGTAAAAAAACATTTAGTCCATAATGTTATGACTTCAGTGGCTCTTTGGGGAGCACAACGTTCCTTTTTTAATTCTCGACCTGGCACAGAAGTACAGAACTAGAGGATTCTGTGTTCAGTCTAGTGCAAAAGATGATAGAGCAAAACTGCAAAGTTTTGCTGACAAAGCGCTGGATCGGGAGAATGTTTTGCTTTTGGTGGTAAACCTGATCAGCGAGGCGCCGACCTTTGAAGAAGCTAGAGTCAGGCAAATGGCTATTCATCTGTGGGAAAATGACCAAGTGGAAGAAGTTCTCTACAACATGGAGCAGGACATTGGTGTGGCCGGGCAAGGTGCCTATATATGCTGCTGTAGTTTGGTTGGATGTTCCAGTTCTTAGCTAAGGACAGCGCTGTGTGTGCTGGTTCTGCGTGTGTGTTTGTTTTGACCAGTAGTTAAGTTTTTGTGGGGGTAGTGTATTGTCTGGTGGTGGAATCATCAGTTCAATGCAGTATGTCTCTTTGCAGAAGAATCCCTTTCTTGAAAGCCATTTTACACACAACGCAGGCACGCACGCAAACACTCAAAAAGAATACACTAACACCACCACTACGCGCACAAACAAACATGCACGTCTCCTGCGCACCCTAGAAAATAATTGGATGCTCTAAGCTGGCAACAAGAACAGGCTGGTTCTTTGCTGTTCGCAATTCAAACATCGCTCTGATGGTGTTACCAACATCCAGAGTTTTGAGACACCATGGATTGGAATGATGGATAAACACAGAGGCCCCTTCAATAGGCAATCAAGAAAGAAAACTTCTTTCTTAATACAAAACAAAAACAAAACTTCTTTACACGATCAAGAGGCATATGACACACCAAAACTATTGCTACTTCCACCTCCACTGGAAGTTGGCAACTGCACACTGCTTCATACACTTTTAAAGCAAGGTAGCCTGCATAAGCTTCTTTTACACCTTGAAACATCTCAAGATCCAACCAAGAACGACGGCATGTGGCGCTCTAGTGCCCGCACAAGGTCCTTCCCCTGGCTCTCCGTGCCAACAGGCTCACCGAGCCGGTGCACCGCCTCCAGCAGCTCCCCCCTCAGCCTTTGGGGTAGCAGCTGCCCACCCGCGCTCACACACTCACGGTACAGTGGCAGGTACGTGATGCCGAGCACCATCTCAGACGGGAGGTCCTCCAGGCAGATCGGGGACGCACCTCTCCTGAGGACCCTCATGACATTCACGAAGTGCATTTCGCCGGTGCTCACCCCTTCAGCAAACGCACCCTGGGACCAGTGTTCTTTCAGGAAGGCAACCAGGTCTGGGGGCTCGCCGTCGGTGCCCCCGGTTGCAATGATGTCTGCGGCCTCGTATGTTGCAGCTGCGTCTCTTAGGAAGTTGGATCTCAGAAGGAAGGTGACACCATCAAGCGACCTGCTGCCCTGGCCCCTTGCAGCTTTGAGGATCTGTGTGCTGAGAGCTTCAAGGATTTGCTGGGGGATATGTGCAAGCAGGTACGAGGCGACCATGAAATGGCCACTGGAGGCAGCAGTCGTCAGGGCAAGGCACATCTCAATGTCAGAGATGCCTCGACTGACGAACCAGTGGACAACCTGCAAGCACCCACGCTCTGCAGCTTTTATCAGAGGGCTAAGGAAAGAACTCACGTTCCCTTCATCAACTAGGCATTCCATTGTGCTAAACTTGCAGTAATGAGAAGCATACACTAGAGCCAGCTCGGTGTCCACAGCCAAGCTATTCTGATATGCAACCTGCATAAAGGGGGCAAACATTACTGTTGCATTGTCATGCTGTTCTTTGTGAAATGTACTTTTCAAAGATATTTAAGGGATCAATACAATAGTTGACATTTCTAGGATAATACGACATATTTTCAGCGATTATTTACATCTAAACTGGAAGAAAAACCTCTATGCTCACGACCAAAGGTGTCTCTGCACCCAATCAACTCATAAATCTCCCATCTAGGAAGCAGGGGTGAAAGCTTAGTGGAGGCGAAACTGGATTCTCCCCCTACCCCCACCGCCTTGCTCCGTGTACTGACCTCAGTACCTGCAGTTGTTAGATGCTGCTGCCGCTGGCCGGAGAAGATGAACAGGCATCCAAATAGTCCGCCGGCCCAAGCATTGAAGGGGGTATATAATGAATGGGTGAAGTGGGCCGTATTACTTTGCCAACAAGTGTACCTATGGTGGCCCAGAAACAAGCAGTCCGATGGCCAGGAAGCCTGCCATTGCTTTCTGTAGCAGTAACAACAAGAATCCCCCCCCAACAACCACCACCACCACCCACCCCCACTCCTGATTTGGTGCTGCACTCCGCCACTGCTAGGAAGGATAGGCTGGTTCAGTCGAGGAGAATATTTTCTATGACCATAGCCCAACCATGCCTAGGCTCCTTAAGATCCCATAGAGTATAAATGGAATAAGTCATGTGACACGATTCTATATTTGTTACAGGTAACCTTAATTAGTCCTGCCCATAAAGCACAAAAGCTTCTAGCAATTGTCAACATCTATGGAGAAAGTTATGTTCTGGCAAATGACCACAATCTTGTATGGCATGCACAATTCATTTTTAGTTTTGCGCATGGTCATGCAAATGTCATAATTTTGCAGTGGCCTATAGCCAAACTCAACACTCCCTCCCTTTTGTAATTCTTTGGTACCAATATTTGCCTCGGTTTTTCCCTTCCCCAGACCCCACTCATGTAGGAGTCTCCGGCACTGGGTCTGCCCTTTTTTGATAATAAAACATTAGAAGTGATCTATATCTTGACGAACATAGTACCAGTATTGTTTTTATGTGAACGCATTGGTGTAATTAGAAACATATTCGAATAAAGAAATATTTAGATTTTTCTTGTATACAACTTTAATTTTTTAATTTGTCAATAAAACTTATAGATTTCTTTTCAGGCCAAAATTGAGAAAGCAAAATCTCAAACTACACTTCAGCATCAACATTTTTTGTTAAACGAGGCCAACATTTCCTACTTTAAGGATATAGTCTCGAGTCTAGATACATAGTTAAAGCTAAAGACTCAAAAGAGGAAGACGATAACAAAATATTGAGAAAAGATAGTTACCCTATCACGAATATGGTTACTTCTGTGAAGAAGAGCAGTATTTCAGGCCAAATTTAGAATAACTGATGACAGCTAAAATGTTCATAAAAAATCTACTTCAGTAACTCAACATTTTAGTTTAACAAGCACACAGGCTAAAGATGGCAGCGGGGCGGGTTTCAGACCCGGCGGGGGCAGGGGCGGGTCCAGTTTTCGCCCTGCGGGTCTGCAGGTTCGGGGACCCGATTCGGGGCGGGTCGGGGTCGGGTCCAGGATTTTCCCCGTGGGTTCCCGTGGGGACCCGAAATGTTAAAGGCCCGTGTAGAAGCCCAGCCCACAAGTGAATAACCCTAGGTATATAACCAGCAGCAGCCACTCTGTCTCACTTCTATCCATCCATTCCCATTCCTCAGTCGTCACAGCCGCCGCCCTGACTCGAGCATGGCGCATAGGTCAGCGCTCGGCCTCTCGCTCGTCCCCGCGCAGGAGCCCTGCCACTCCGACCTCACCAAGAGCCGCCGCCCGCCCGATCTCGCGTTTGCGCATGGGAACGCTGCCGCACTCAGGCACCTAGCAGCCTAGGGCCCAGCACCTCCGCCCACTCACCTGCTCGCGTCTCGCCCTGAGGCCTACGGGCTACTCTGATGGACCAACGACGGCGGTGCTCCTCGGTCTCACACCTCCTAATGACTTGCTATTGTATTTCTGTGGCCGCATATTATATTATATTGAGATCGTGGAGTCTAGTTTGTTGGGACGGATGAATGGATGCTACTTAGAATGTGAAGATAGCACTCTCGGGTTATGCTCATGTGCTGATGCAACTCGGGTCTCAGGGAGCCCGTCGGGTTTCGGGTCCCCATCGGGTTCGGGGTCGGGTGCAATATTTCACCCGAATCAGAGTTCCGGGCCGAGGCGGGTTTTTCTGTCGGGTTTCGGGTGCGGGTCCGCGGAAGCTCCACCCGATCCCGCCCCGCCTCGTTGCCATCCTTAACACAGGCCCAATCCATTCCTTGGGAAAGCACAAAATCACCTCAGCTGGTTTATAAGTACTTTAAAGGCATGCTCTAAATTCTAGAATGTTAAAAAGTTAGTTAAAAGCCCAAGTGCTCAAAAAGGAAGACAGCATGCAAATGTTAGTTACTTATTACTAACAGCATAGTCAGCAAAGGCATATTGAGCTTCTTAAGGAGTGGGAATAAACCGAAAGATAACACTAGAAGAGGGTAATCCAAAAATTGGATGTTATTGTGTGTTTAGTTAGATGATCCTATCGAAGCCCAAAAAACCTAACCAAAGGACATGCAGAATTTTGACCATCAGATTAGTTGCCAGTTGCCCTAACTTAACTATACTTTGGGAACCCGTTGTGTTGAACTATACTTTGGGAAGAAAATGAACTTCCATTGACTATGTGTTGGTTGAATGTAAAATTATGAATACAAACATAATATATGCCAAAGTACAGTCAAAAGTTTGGAAGACCCCACATGTATGACATAGTTACAATAGAAAGCTTTCATTAGAAAAGTGTGTATTCTACACAACAGAGTGCAAATCAATGTTAGTATCATCCAGTAATTATATTTGGCATAAACAAAGAGCTTGGTGGCAACAAGCATCAGAAAGGACTACAGGTTAAAATATCATCTTAAACTGCAACTAATTCCAGAATTTATGGCTCGGGTAAACATTGTCCACAACTGTTTGTCCATTTAAAACATTGCATCTTACTATATGGCTTGCCAAAATTTGCATCTCTAGTAATAGAAGATAAGAAAAACTAAGAAAACAACCTAGAGCTCTGGGTATAATACTTTGGTTATAACTCCATAATCAATAGCTCCTAAAGAAAAGCAAAACATGCTCATTTGGTCATTTAGTATTAGATTAAACAGAATTGTTAACTTCTACACCAAGATTAATGAGAACAACTAAAATTACCTCCAGCAGAATGCGTACAAGTTCAGTACTTCCAAAGCGTGCTGCTTCAAGGAAACACTGATTTACATTGTCAGCGCCTCCTTCCACCAGCAATGATAAAAGGCCCTTAATGGAGACTGCTGAACTCCCAGAAGACCATCCAGGTTCAAATAAACTTGAGAAGAGTGTAAGGGGGAAGCAGACCGCATCAAATGCCTCAGTGAAAATCTTGCCACTTAAGTTGTCACCAGCTGTGTCCAAGAAGGTTCTAAATGCTGATAAATGAAACTGTACCTCTTGGAGAGTATTGCAGCTCCATCTGTACCTATGTGTGTCTTCAGAACAATGGTGCATATGAATACACTGTAAAGCCCATTCCATAAACTTCTGCACCTTGGCGCCTGCCTCTATTTTTAGATGCTCGGCACCAGGACAATCTCGCAGACGTTCATGCAATCTAAATTTCAACACCAAAGAAATAACATCACTAATAATGTATTAAGCAATATATTCTGAATAAAAACATTTATATGTAAAGCTGAGAGTCACCTCTCTGCGACGATCTCCTTGCTATCACCCACAGTGATAGCCTTGCTTTGGCAGGCTGCAACACATGATGCAAGCAGCGACGTCCTGAGGATTGCTCTGGCAAAATCCTTTGCCCCTGAGGCCACAATCTTCGCTATCAGACTGTTGAGCCCCTCAAGATCCCGTTTCGTCCGCAAGAACCATATGGCATCAAGGGCAATCGACAGGCCATAATCCAGCATCGACTGCTGATCTGCTAGATCAACAAGACTTTCAGCAAGGCTCCACTGCCGCGAGAACAGCACCAGCTGCAGGGAGTGACCGAAGTCCACCCACCCATGCTCGTCTAGCCCCTGGCTTTGCACGCACCCATCCGATTCCTGTGTTTCGTCGTCCCCATGACTATGGCTGACGCTGCATCCTCGGTCGTTCTTAGGCGCCAGCGCTGATTCCCTTTCAAACACCACCCCACTAGCCTGGCCAATCTCGTCAACCTCTACCTCCACGAACGGCGATTTCTTCGCCTTCGCCCGGATGCTTCGTGGTTTGCCTTGCTCAACCATTTGATGCAAGAGAGATCCAGGCTGTAATCCAAGCTCACACCATTCTGTCCCCTGCTAAAATAATCCGGCAACTCCTGATCATACAAAGCCGAAGAACCCTAAATCAAGAAGAAATACAACGCCGTTGCGATCAAAACTGTGCCGATCTGCAAACTCGAAGAGTAGAAAATAGCTAGGCATTAATCACAAGAAAGGATTTGAGAAGAACAGGATGATTACGAAACAACTTTTGAGGGGCAGAGAGATCGAACCTGAAACTTGCAAGATCGAAGACCATGCGGTAGGGGGGAAATATGAAGGAGAAGGGGAATCAAACATGCAAGGAAAAGCGGAAGGAGACGGGGACAGTATCTTATTTTTCCCCGCTGTGATTTTGATGGGGAGAGAATAATAGAGTTCACAGCCCTCCTTTCTGGCGGCGTGGAGGCCACCAAATTTATTAGGATCGTTTTAGATTAAAGGGCTTTTTGGATTCCTGCCATCGCAATTTTTCAAGGTTTGAAGATTGCCATTACAATTTGTCTTATTGGAAGATTGCCATTACAATTCTCGATACCCCTGTTCGTTGCCCTCATCTACGTATCCGATCAGCTAGGGCCCATTGTCAGGCCGTCGGATGCATACGCAATGCGTATGGACGTCGATGCCCCTCCTCCCTAAGTCTTTGAAGCCGCAGCGGCTCCTCTTCGTTACCCCCCGGTCATCTCTGTTCCCCTTGAGCTTTCTTCTCCATCTCCGTCCCCCTCCTCAGAACCCTAACCCTAGAAACCAAACCACCGTCGGAGCCCTCTTCCACCATTGGAGTCAACGTCGAACCCTAACTTTGGCGGCCACCGGCGATGTTGGAGGCACCGCCGTGATGACGAGAAGCAGCTCCGCGGCCCGCGCGGCGCATCCATCAATGCGGCGACGATGGAGGAAGCGCAGATGGTGTACCCAATCTTCGCCTTTCTTCTCCGTTTGCTCATCAAAGTTGGCGATTAGGCGTTTAATTTCCTTGTATTGTTGATGAAGCGTGCATGTATATACACTTCGATCGGGATGGATTTATTGCTTGTTAGGGATGGGATGTTTTGCGCTAGAGGTCAAAGTTGAAGCTTTTGCTTCAAAAGACTTGAGTGGTAGGAAATCATACACAAAAGGTCGAGTGTTTAAGTTGGATGTGGAGTATGGGTCACTAACACTAGACTTGTTGTTGAAACATCGGCAAATGAATTGAATCGTGCAACAACCGGGACGCCTCTGAGTTTGGTTCTTTGACAAAAGATTGAATGAGGATGCGGACTAGTTGATGAGATCTGAGATGGTTGATTTGTTTGAAATGCATAAGGAGGAGATGACTTGCCGAGGTTGTAGTAGGTGTATTTGATAGTTCAACTGTGTGGAGCATGAGTTTGATGCACTGGAGCCTCTCTGTATGGTTCCTCCCGATGATGTCATGAATTAGGCACTCATGATGTTAACCTTCTTACACAACATACTAGTGGTGGTACTGAGCCAACAAATGAGCCGCATGCTGCTCCTAAGAATCCAAAGGCAGCTTCTGAGTTAGAACCATATAGAGAACCATATATTTTTGATAACGAAGAAGAATATGTGGGAATTGATGATGAGGCCATGTATGATGAAGAACCTACACACCAAACCGAGTTTCCATGACCACATGTTGATCCATCGTTTGACAATGCTAACACTAATGCTATCTCTTGATCCATCATTTGACTTTGTAAATGTTGAGGCGGAGGTGGATGATGCTAATCCTCTAGAGATCAATGTCTTGCATGACCACGAGAACCCAAAGATTGTGAAGGGGCGTTGTTTCGATATCACTTCATTCAGAAAGCAATTCGACATTATGCTGTGAAGACTGGGTTTGAGTTTGCTGCTGCTGGTTACAAATCTGACAAGTCAAGGTTCATAGCTAAGTGTGCTGCTGAGAGGTGCCCTTGGCGTATACATGCTTCCACCATTTTTGATAATAAAACTGTACAGGTACATTTGTTTTCAGATTTGTGATGTATCATTCTCTCTGTTACCATTTCTTTGGATATTTTATTTAGTTAATTAATTTTTTTATTCCTTGTTGTACAGATCAAAGTGTTGCCTGCAGACTACGAGTGTGCTACCACCAAGCTAACAGTAGGAAGGATGGCTAGTCAGGGCTGGTGTGCAGATAGGCTTGGAGATTGGATTAAGAAAAACCCAACAAAGAGAGCAAAGGATGCAAAGGACAAATTGGAAGGTGACTATGGAATTAAGCTGAAGTACTCAAAAGCTTGGTCTGGTTTGAAGGTTGCCTTGGATCAAATACATGGTAAGTATGAGGAAAGCTTTCACCTTCTTTTCAACTGGGCTGCACAGCTAGAAATAAGTTCACCTGGAAGTAGAGTAGAGATAGAGTTAGAGAAGGTTGGTAAAAAGAATAGGTTCAAGAGGATTTTTGTTGCTTTGAAGCCTTGCATTGATGGATTCCTAGCAGGTTGTAGACCCTTTGTAGGAGTAGATGCTTCTTTTCTGAATGGAAAGTATACTGGACAGTTGGCTTCTGCAATAGGTGTAGATGGGCACAACTGGTTATATCATATTGCATTTGGTGTGTTTCACTCAGAGACTGAGGACAACTGGAAGTGGTTCCTAGAGAATTTGCACAGTGCCATAGGAGACCCTCCAGGACTTGTGTTATGTTCAGATGCTTGTAAAGGATTAGAGAAAGCTGTGGGGGTTGTTTTCCCACAAGCTGAAAACAGGGAGTGTACTAGACACATGTACAACAACTTCATGAAACACTACTCAGGGGATGTTTTCACTGACCACCTGTACCCTGCTGCAAGGAGCTACACAGAAGGCATGTTCAAGTGGCATATGAAGAAAATCTTTCAGTTTGCTCCAGCTGCAATTGACTACCTTCAAGAGTATCATCCTAGGATATGGTACAGAAGTGGCTTCTCTGAGGATAGTAAATGTGATTATTTAACTAATAATGTCTCTGAGTCCTTCAATGCTCAGATCAAGGACTTAAAAGGACTTCATCTCCATGAGTTAGTTGACATGATAAGAGAGTTGATAATGGAGAAAAGGTACATAAGAAAGAAGATTGCACAGAAATGGGCAGAAGGAATCCTACCTGGAGTCATGAAGGACTTGAACCTTATAAGTAAGAACCTCAAAGTTGTGAAGGTTAAAGTTAGTGATGATGACTTTGCGAGGAGGTGACCTTGGATGGACCTGGAACAACCCAGAGAAGGCACACAAGAGATCTTAAAAATAACAAGTGTTCATGCAGGGAATGGCAGGTAACTGGCAAGCCATGCAAGCATGCCTTGGCATGGATACTATCCAACAGAGGTATGCGCATAGATGATTTTGTGCATGAATATTACTCTGTTGCTAGGTTCAAAGCTACCTATGAGGATAGAGTTGAACCAATGCCGAATGATCATGATGATGAGAAATTGATCTTGGGTTCAAGGTTCACCCCACCTCTCTGCTGGGAAGAGCAGCAGGTAGGCCTAAGGTTCAAAGACAAAGAGGGTGCCTAGAAAAAAATCCAGACAAAAAGAAAGTGAGATGCAGCAGATGTGGAGGTTTTGGACACTTCGCCAAGACCTGCAAACTTGAAATGGTTGGAGAGGATGGCGAAACTGCTACAACAAAGAAAAGGTTAGCTTTACCTTGAATTTCAGTTCAATTATCTAGTGCTGTTAATTATTTGAGGCTGTTAATTATCTAGGACTGTTAATTGTTTATGCCTGTTAATTAGTGGATAAAACATGTATAGGAAGAGGACAGATTGCACCCTTGAAAAAGAAGCTGGACCATCAAATGGGAAGAAAAAGAAGGCAACAAAGAAGAAGAAAACTCCTACGAAGAAAAAAACTCCCTTGAAGAAGAAGCAGAAGAGAGATGCTGCTGCTCCTCCACCAAAGGTCGTCAGAAGCCTGAAGGACTTAATTTGTGATGGTGGACAGTGACCCTCTTGGTTGTGATGATGGACAATGACCCTTTTGGTAAATGTGAAACCTTTTGTGAACTTGTTTTGGTTATGTAATGGCCTGTGAATTTGTAGATGGCTGTGAACTGTGAACTGCTGCCTACAATGGCCTGTGACATGTGCACTGGATGCTGTGAACTATGAACTGGTGCCTATGAATGGTCTGTGCTGCTTGTAAACTTGAGCAAACTATTTTTTGAATTTCTTAATGCTTGTAAACTTGAACAAGCTTCAATGCTCTTGTGAGGAATGCTATTGTCGGGTTTGAAGTAGAATCATGGTAATGTCAAGATGTGCCATTTAGGTTTGTAATATTTCAGTTTCCTTTGAATAATGCTATCATCAATCTGAATTTTTCTCGATTTGGTCATGGTATGACAACATACATGAGGTATGACCAACAAATAATTTTTGAAACTAAATTCCATTGACATATAGCAGTGACATACATACATTCCAGTTCATCCTCTTGGAATTGTCATACAACATGAGAGACTAACAAAATAATTCTTAATTAACTAGGTCCATATTTTGCTCATAAGACATCCTAAAGCTACACACACACAAGGTTGCTATCACAACATAATCCATTTTCACCCTCTGTACTTAGATCTTGGATCACCCACATCACTCACGGCAAGACCGCCAATTTTACGCCTCAATGCATCCACCTCTCGCTTCATGTCTAGAATGTGGTCAATGAACCACCAACATGGTGCCCAGGACTATGAGGAATCGCCTTCTTCCACTGAGTTGGGAGTTGCACTTTGTTGCGTAAGAATGCAACATATTGGTCCTCGGACATGATGATGCCACATGTTGTTGGGTCGTCCTGCATCCAATGAAACCCTAGCCGCATGAACACCAACCAAGAACTCCAAATCGAACACAAATTCGACAGAAATTGACTTACTTTGATGTTGTTAGGGCACTTCACGAAGCTTTGGCCATAAGTATCCTTCTTCTTGCTTATGATCCGTATGAGCTGGACGAAGCAGTGGGGGCAATC